GCCGCCCTTCAAGAAGTTCAGCAAAGGGTGAGATGCCTCTTCCTTTACGGAGATGCCTAAAAAATCTGACAGCTTGACTGAGTCCTGTGTTCCAAGAACTCTGTTCCTTTTGGAGCAATTTGCAGAATACAGCTCTCAAACCTGCTCTTTCCTCAGATGCTGAGCTGTGCCTTGGGGGTTGGTGTTCCCATCAGACTGTTGGATGGAAAGGGATAGATTAGAACAGCAAACTGAAGAGCATGTTTCAGTTTTTGTGTGTTTATTCACCACATCTTCCTTCTCATTTGGGCCATCCTTTAGAGAGGAGAAACCCAAAAACTGTTCTGTCTCCCTTAGCACCAGATCCACATCTGTTAATCCATCTGGGGACAGGAGGCTCCACAGGGTGATTCTGGGTCTAGCAGTGCAGTTTCTTTGTTGGACACATACAAATACTCTCCTGTTGCAGGGTGGCTTTTTTCCCTCTGCACATTGGTGACCATGTCTTCATAGAAGAGGACTGTGTTGTCAACGCGGCCCAGATCGGCTCCTATGTGCACATAGGCAAGAACTGCGTCATTGTGAGTGCCATTTCTGGATTTTCTGTGAACTCCTGGGTGCTGCTGAGGCCTTGTGACAGCAGCTGGAGGTGTCTGCACCAGCTGGCTGGAGCAGGCTCACCTTCTCTGCGCCGTTCCTTCCTGCTCCTCTTCCTTCTCTGCAGGAAGCTGAGCTTTCAGGGTCACTTTCCTGAGGATAGCATGTTCAGCTGCTGCTGGCTGCAAAATCCATCCCAAATGTTGTCCCTGTGGCTAATGGCATTGCCTGGGGAAGGCAGCCTGGCCACAGAGTACAAGTACAATTGTGTTTCTGTGTGAATAAGACAAAATAGTCAAGGCTACTGTGTGCTGAGGTAGAGAAGACCTTGCTGGTACTGCTTGACTTGGGTTTTTTGTGCGAGTTTGAACATTGACATGTTAATGTGCAGTTGTACCTGTGCTAGTTGAAAGCAAGCAGACATTTTTCCTCAAAAAGAAAAGTTAATTCTGTTGAGAGGAGCATTCAGTCAGGGTAAAGATTTATTCCTGTGATCTCTTATAAAGGATATGTTTTGAGCAATTGATCTTCTTGAAACTTAGGTAACATATCAGTAATAATAAAAAAACCTCATGTTTATAGTGTCGTAAATATAAACTTTTCCTGTTCTCTTCTTTAGGGACGTAGATGTGTTTTGAAAGACTGCTGCAAAATCTTGGACAACACAGTACTCCCTCCTGAAACTGTAGTTCCACCTTTCACTGTCTTCTCGGGCTGCCCAGGTATGTTCCCTCTATCTTCCCTTGCACAAAACTGCAGATAATATGGATATTTTTATTTTAAATGGGATTTCTATAACAAAGGTGCCCATGAGCACTTAGTGCCTAAAAATAAAGGTATTTGCTGCACTGAAAAGCAGCACTTTTAACTTGTGAAACTCCCTGTTTCAGTGCATGGTGCATAGGTGGTACACGATGAGTGATGGCCATGCTGTTGTTGTTCTTCCAGGACTCTTCTGTGGGGAGCTCCCGGAGTGCACCCAGGAACTCATGATTGACGTTACCAAGAGCTATTACCAGAAGTTCTTGCCGCTCACTCAGGTCTAGTAGCCCCGTTGCCGTGTCTCAGGCACACAGAGCGTTCTGGGGGTGGGCAGAGGGCTGTTGTCCAGTGAGGCCGGAGCCCTGAGCACCTCTGTGCCTCAGCACCACTGGCCTGGCCAAGCAGTCCCTGGTCAAAGCTGCTGTGTCCTGTTCAAACTCTGTGTGCTCGTCCAGTGTACTCCATTCCACGTTGTCTGAGCTGTGCCACTGGGTGTTCTGGAGCTGGGAAGGCTGCAACGCCTGCCTTGGGGCAGCAGCTGGGAGCAAGGCAGAGCTGACATGTGCTCCGCAGCCTCAGCCTGGCTGCTCAGTTCTGTCTAACCCAAAGCTAGGCTTAGGTTTGCTAGGAGCAGTCTCCATCCCAGCAGGGCTGTTCTGGCTGTGTTCTGGGCACGTACCAGGGCTCAGTAGACCCAGGCCTTTCCTTTGGCCCGATACTTGCTGCCCTTGGGCTGGCATGCTGAGGTGCATGGCCTCTTCCTTTTCTCCCTGGGACTCTCTCCAGGGGTACATCATCCTGCTGCTGGCTTTAGGAGTTTTGGCTGGCACTGACACCTGTCTTTCTGTGCCTGACAGGATGTTTCTTAGCTTTTTGCTCCTGAAGCAGACTCAGTCCTGTGCTTTCACCCCTCAGGGCTAGTGTTCTTGGGGTCAGTGCCACTTCTGAATACCACAGACCTTAAAGAGCCAAAGGCTTTTGAAAAGAGGATTGCCATGTCACTCACAGAATTCAAGGCACCAGAAAGAGGGTAATTAAAAGTGAGACAATGCTGCAAATGTTCCCGTTCATTACCCAGTGTCTGTATTTGCAGAAAGCTCTTCTGTGCATTTCTGCATTATGACACTCAGACTTCTTAGAAAGAGTGAAGATTTCATTTTGGACGTGTAGTAGAGCATGAATAGTTCTTGCTGAGAGCATCTCTGAAAGGTGGAGGCATCTGATGCTTGTGTACCTGAGTACAGACAGCTGCACATCAGGCTGCCTACTCTGCTTGTGCTCTGTTAAAGCTTAGCATAGTCCTGCTCTAGGTTTTAAACTGGGGCTCCTGCATGGTGCAGTGCAGCAGCTGGGGCCAGGACACGTATTAGGTCTGTGGTAGGTGTGTGGCTGTGGATGAGCAGTCCTGGAGCCTCAGCTGATCTCTGTAGCAAATGCTGATACACCTTAGTAGCAAATAGCTGTGTGAGTACTAAAGTGTGTAGTAGCTGCTGTACATCCCATGTAAAACCACTGACTGGTTTGTATTTTTACTGTACATAAATTAAAGGCTCTTCAGCTGTTCAAGTGACTCGTGACTCTTCAAATCAAACCAGACTGAGGTTCCTGCTGTGCCTGGGCATGATCCACAGTCCCTTGTTCTGTGACTGCTACAGGCTGTTCCGGCTGTCCTGTGCATTACAGAACGTAGTAAAGTGTGAAACAGCTTCTTGCTCCCTGAGCGGCCTCCTCTGTCACAGACTTGACAGGTTTGGGGCTCATTGTGAGACTTCCTGCAAGTCAGGAGTTCAGAGCACTGCTTTGTTCCAGGGTGTCTCTGCCAGTGTCTGGCAGGAGTGGGGTGTCTGTGCTGTGTTGCTGTGTTGTCAGCTCAAAGTTTCAACACCACATTGTGTGTTTCACCGGGATCGCTTGATCAGCAGCCACAGCAGCAGGGAGAGGAGTGGGAGAAGGGATATGAGTTTGGGAGTGGGGTGGCAGCTGGAAAAGTCTGAGTGATGAATTTCCACAGCCACCTGAGAGCAGAGCTGTAGTGCATGAAGGGATGTGTCACTGCAATTTCATGTTTCTTGGCCTGCTCTTCCTTCTAGCTGTCTGAGCTGACTCTTCTGCCTTAATTAAAACCTCTTTTGTTGTCTTTGTTAAGGTGGCCTCTGGCAGGGCCTAAAACCAAGCCACCACTGAAGATCCCTAACACCCAGCATTGTTAACATTCCTTTCACTGGCCACTTTCTCCTCCTGCCTCTGAAGCATCCCTCTGACCTGGGCTCAGCTCTCCGCCTCTGCCAGTTCTGGGAAGATGGAGTGTCAGTGTCCCAGCTCTGCAGGCAGCCTTCTATCCAGCATGGTGCAGTACACAGACAGGAAGCTGTGCCTGTAGCCTGAGGAGCTGCAGGAGTGGGGAAGCATATCCTGTGGGGAGGGGAATGTCTTCTGTCAGGAATCTGTACAAACACTGAGCACTTCTAACCCCAAGTTGCTGTGTGGCTTCATTGATCCCCTTTGTGTGCTTTGCTCAGAGGACGGGCAGGGTGTGCTGCTGGGCTGGAGGATGTTCAGGGTCCCTGGGAGCACACCCCTCCGTGCCTGTGAGGAGTGAGGGGCTGCCCGGGGCTGTGTGGGAAGGTCTCAGGCACCAGGCAGTGGGGACAGTGCTTTGTGGGCAGCAGAGTGCCCCGGGATGATCCCAGAATAGCACTGGAGCTGTGGCTTGGTGACCTGCAGGCTCCTGGCCCTGTCCGTGCACTGGGCTCTCCAGGACACCCTGGCACGGATGACCCATGCCTGTCCGTGCACTGGGCTCTCCAGGACACCCTGGCACGGATGACCCGTGCCTGTCCGTGCACTGGGCTCTCCAGGACACCCTGGCACGGATGACCCGTGCCTGTCCGTGCACTGGGCTCTCCAGGACACCCTGGCACGGATGACCCGTGCCTGTGGGTGAGGCTCAGCCGGGGGCACGGCTCAACCCACCGGGCGAAAGCATGGAGTATGCTGGCCACTAACATCTGTTCTTTGTTAGCCAGTACTGAAAGCAGCAGCTTCTGCTGAGGGAAAGGAGGCCACAGGATGTTAAAATTTCCTCAGTCCGTGGGACTGTGCACGCCAGGGAGCAGAGAGCAGGTGTCGGGGCTGCGGCACTGCCGCTGTGTCTGTCTGTTTTGGGTCATTTTTCATTGGTGGTGGAGTTAAGGCATGGGAGCACCCCAGGGTCACTGCTCTGGCAAGGGAGGCGCAGGAGCAGCGCCGGAGCGCTGGAGTCGGGGATGGGCGTCAGGGCTGAGGGGGACAGCGGGCAGTGAGGTCAGGGCAGCCCCTCAGAACTGCCGCCCGAGGGGCAGCGGGGTGCGGGGTGCCTCCGCCATAGAAACTGGCGCAAGGCCGGCCCTTGGGCAGCCGCGGGGAGCGGGCGGTGCCGCCCGGCGCCTCTGCCCGGAGATCCACGCCGGCGGCAAATCCCGGGGAATGTCCGCGGGGCCGCGCCCGGGGGTCCCGCGGGGCCGCGCTCGGCCCGGGGCTCGGCCGCGGGAGCGCGCCTGGGCCTGCCGGGGCCGCGCACAACGGCCGCCCGCGCACGCGCACACCGCGGGGGCGTGCCGCTCCCGGCTCCCATGGTGCGCCGCGCGGCGCGTGGATTTTAAATCGTGCGGCCAATGGGGAGCGGCCGCGCGCGGTAACGGCCCCGGCGCCGCCTTTGAACCGCGGCCCGGGAGCGAGCGGGGAGCGCAGCCCGGCACCGGGACCGGCACCGCTACAGGCACCGGGACCCCCAGCTGCACCGGCACCGCACCGCCACCGAGACCCCCAGCTGCACCGCTACCGGCACCGGCACCCGCCCTGCTTCGGTACAGCCACTCGGCACCCATCACTGCACCGGTACCGAGACCCCCAGCTGCACCGGTACAGGGAGCCGGCACCGATCGCTGCACCGGCACAGGCACCGGCACCCACTGCTGCACCGGGGCCCGCCGCTGTTTCGGTGCAGGCACCGCGACCCGCCGCTGTGTCGGTGCAGGCACCGCGACCCGCCGCTGTGTCGGTGCAGGGAGCCGGGCTCCGGCGGTGCCCCAGCGCAGCTCGGCGCGGACCCAGCATGAGCGCGCCGGGCGGGAAGGCGGCGCGGCCGGCGGCGGCGGCGGAGCCGGCCCGGCCGGCGGCGGCGGGGAAGGAGGTGCCGAAGGTGCTCGTGGACCCGCGCACCCGGCGCAGCTTCGTGCGCGGCCGGTTCCTGGGCAAGGGCGGCTTCGCGCGGTGCTACGAGCTGGCCGAGGCCGAGAGCCGGGAGGTGTTCGCCGGGAAGGTGGTGCCCAAGTCGCTGCTGGTGAAGCCGCACCAGAAGGAGAAGATGTCCATGGAGATCGCCATCCACCGCAGCCTCTCCCACCGCCACGTCGTCGGCTTCCAGAGCTTCTTCGAGGACGACGACTTTGTCTACGTCGTGCTGGAGCTCTGCCGCCGCAGGGTGAGGGGCTGGGGGCGGGTGTCGGTGTCCCCGGGTACGGGCTGTCCCCTTCCCCGCGTCCCGCGGTGCTGATCTCATCCTTGTCCCGCAACCCCGCCCCGGTACTGACCGACCGTCCCCCACAGTCGCTGCTGGAGCTGCACAAGCGGCGGAAGGCGCTGAGCGAGCCCGAGGTGCGCTACTACCTGCGCCAAACCATCCTGGGCTGCCAGTACCTGCACAGCCACCGCGTCATCCACCGCGACCTCAAGCTCGGCAACCTCTTCCTCAGCGACGACATGGAGGTGAAGATCGGTAAGTGGCAGGGACCCCAGCCCAGGGACCAGCCAGCCAGGGCATCTTGGGCATATCCCGTCTCCCTGTCCCTCCAGGTGACTTTGGTCTGGCCACCAAGGTAGAGTACGATGGGGAGCGCAAGAAGACCCTGTGTGGGACACCCAACTACATCGCCCCAGAGGTGCTGGGCAAGAAGGGGCACAGCTTCGAGGTGGACATCTGGTCCATTGGCTGCATCATGTGAGTCAAACTGCCTTTCAGAGGCCGTGGGGATGGGCAATCCCTGTGGTTCTGGTCTCCTTGGCCCCTCTGAGCTTCAGTGTGATCCAAAGCTCCAGGTCACTGTCCCCACAGTGCTGAGTCCTGCTGCCAGGCAGCTCCCAACCTTCCCCAACTGAAACTTTCCCTGCAGGGTGCTAGATTCCAACTTCCCTGTCCAGGGGACAGGATCCAGGCACAGTACGCATAACTGTCAATGTGTCTAATGCTAAGCATGTTCCCTCTGCCAGGAAAGCCCCTGTGCTTAGGACATGGCTGCTTCTATGCACAATCTGAGTCTCTTTTGCAAAACTGACACCTTTTTGTCTGGGAATGCCCAGGTACACTCTTCTAGTGGGGAAACCGCCTTTTGAGACATCTTGTCTAAAGGATACGTACATCCGGATCAAGAAGAACGAGTACACCATTCCAAAGGTATGCTGCTTCCCATGGAGCATCTGTTTGGCTCGCAGTGGTGCTTGGTGAGCCTCCTGCTGCAGCCTCTGTGTCTGGCACTCCACGGGCTCTCACACAGCAGGGCAGGGGCTCTCAGTGCTGGGGGCCTTGTTCAGGTTGGGGTGCCGTGAACCTCGTGGGGAGCCAGCAGCTCCCTGCCCCCAATCCAGCAAAAATCTGAGCTGGGCTGTTGATGTGTGGGGGTTAATGGACATGGGCAAGTCCATGAGGTCTGGGCCAGGTCCTCAGCTCATCCCACTGCTGATTAGCTGGTATTGCTCAAGTAATTTGACCTCAGGCTTTGGGTGCTGTTAGGAGCCAGTTCTCTGTGCTACCCAATTCTGCTTCCCCAGCCCTGTGTCCCACTTGCCTGATGCGGCACTGGAGCTCTGCTCCAAGTGGAGCTTCCCTGGGCTGTAAACCCTGTTCATTTGTCGCTAGTGCACATTGTCCCCGGTCTCTAAACTCCACCTGTCCCTCAGCACATCAACCCTGTGGCTGCGAGCCTCATCCAGAAGATGCTGAGGTCGGACCCTGCCACGCGCCCGACCATCAACGAGCTGCTGAACGACGAGTTCTTCACCTCGGGGTACCTCCCCGGCCGCCTGCCCACCAGCTGCCTCACCATCGCGCCCCGCTTCTCCCTGGCTCCCAGCAGCATGGAGCTGGGCGGGCGGAGGCCGCTGACTGCGCTCAATAAAGGTGGGTGTGCGTGCCCAGGTGTGGCTGGGCTGCAGTGCTGGACAGGGCCTGCCCGGCCTCCAGCAGCATCCCCAACCTTGAGTGTGCCTCCCTCTCATCTCCTGATCCGTATGGAAACCCAGCATTTGTGGGTGAGGGGGCTCTGCCCGGGACAGTGCTGCATTCGCTTCAGCTTTGTAATGGGCTCAAAATGACACCTGGAAGTTCCACCAGAATGTGAGGAAGACCTTCTGTGCAGTGCCTGAGCGCTGAACAGATTCCCTAGAGAGGGTGTGTGGAGTCTTCCTCACTGGAGGTATTCCAGAATCCTCTAGACACGTCCTGTGCTCTGGAATTACCCTGCTCATGTCCCACCATGGTCCCTTCCATCATGATCCATTCTGTGTGTCGGGTGCTGTCTGTACGTCTGGTGCCTTTGGAAACCTCGTCCTGGTCACGCTGTTCTCTCTCTTGCCCAGGACTGGACAGCCCTGCACAGGAGCCCTTGCCGGACAAGGAGGAAGCGGCGGGGCTGCGGGAGGTGGCAGATGCTGTCAGTTGCCACCTGGCTGACATGTTGCAGCAGCTGACTGCAGTCAACGCAGCCAAGCCCTCCGAGAGAGTAGCAGTGAGGCAAGGTGAGCCTGGGGCAGCCCACGGGCCTCGTGGGTGCACAGCCTGTGGGAAATGTCTTCTAACAAGCTGCTTTCTTCCTGCAGAAGAAGCTGAGGACCCAGCCTGCATTCCCATCTTCTGGGTTAGCAAATGGGTGGACTACTCGGATAAATATGGACTCGGTAAACACTATGGGTGGCAATGCTTCTGACTTTCCTCGTGTCTGAGGGGGCTGGGAGAAGCCTGGATTGGGCCATTTCCTAGGTCTGGGTTTTTAATCACCTTATTCCAGTGTGTGTGTCCAAGACCACTGCCAGGAATCTTACCACATACCCCAGGAATCCAGAGCGGTGGTCACTGACCGTCAGCCCTGGCCCCTTTAATGTGGGCAATGGTACCTGTGCATGAGATGACCAAGCTGGCTCTCCCCAGCCTGCACAGGGAACCATGGTGGCAGCAGAGGCTGTTTTTGAAGCAGCTGATGCAGTAAGGGAGATGACAAATCCAGAGCTGGAAAAGTGCCAGCCAGAGCTCCCCGAAGAGCAGACCTGGCAGGGACATGGTGGGGTGGCTGTTGGGGAATCTCTGGGTGATAAACCATCTGCCTTGGTGCTTCCCACTGCCAGTGGTCCTCTGAGATTGGAGGTCTCACGGGGTCCCTTCTGGGCAGGTTACCAGCTCTGTGACAACAGTGTTGGAGTTCTCTTCAATGACTCCACTCGGCTCATCATGTACAACGATGGGGACAACCTGCAGTACATTGAGCAGAACAACACTGAGTCCTACTTCACTGTGAGGTCCTACCCCTCTGCCCTGAACAAGAAGGTCAGTCCTGGGGACAGGAGCCCTGGCTGGGGGGTGGTGAGGCTCCTGCCGCCCTTAGGCTTTGGTGGCAGGGTGGGTTCCAGGGAGAAACATTTATTGGAGGTCACTGGCACTTTGCAGGTTTCCTCTAGCTGGTGACACGTGTTCCCAAGGACAGACACTAGCAGCTCTAACTGCTGTCTGAGGCTCATTTATGAGCACTTTCACAGAATTTAAGTGCTCACATGACTTGTACATACCAAAGTGTTCAGCAAAGCGAGTCTGATGTGTCATGGTCAGAGTAAACTTTGCAGATTTCCACAAGTTTTTGCAGTGACACCTCAAGCTCTGAAAGACGTAAGGAGGGTCTAGGACTGTGATGGCAGTCTCTGCATGCCCCCCTGTGCCTGGGGTCACCCACAGCCCATCTCTTCTGTAGATAACACTACTGAAGTACTTCCGGAATTACATGAGCGAGCACTTGCTGAAGGCGGGGGCGAACATCACGCCACGGGAAGGGGACGAGCTAGCCCGACTGCCCTACCTGTGCACCTGGTTCCGGACCCGCAGTGCCATCATCCTGCACCTCAGCAACGGCACTGTGCAGATCAACTTCTTCCAGGTGAGGCTCTGTGCAGGGCCGTGCTTGCATGTGGTGCTGCAGGAGAGGATGGCTTGAGCCAAGGCTCTGCACTGGGAGCCCGGCACTGGGAGCTGTCTGTGCTGGTACCTGAGGCCCCCAGACTCTCCTGGCTCGTGAGGGGCTGTGCTCTGGAGCAGCAGGCTGCCTGCTGCAGCCAGCTCTTGCCCTTTGCTGCACTCTGAAGGAATTCTACAGAGGGACTTTGTCACACACCCTGGGTGCTGCTGAGATGGCTCATCCAGAGGAAATGCTGCCCCAAGGAGCACAGTGCTCAGTGACCGTGTGTTCTCCTCTCCCCCCAGGACCACACCAAGGTGATCCTGTGCCCTCTCATGGCTGCTGTCACGTACATAGATGAAAAACGGGACTTCCGCACGTACAAGCTGAGCCTGATCGAGGAGCACGGCTGCTGCCGGGAGCTGGCCAGCCGCCTGCGCTACGCCCGCACCATGGTGGAGAAGCTCCTCAGCTCCAAGTCTGGCTCGGGCCGGATGAAGTCTTCCACTTAGACCCTGTTCTTGCTGGACTCAACATCTGTGCCGCACTGCCCAGCTGTGGAGGGAGAGGTCTGGCGGCTTCCCTCCCGTGGCCCAGCTGGGTTCCCGCTCCTGGGTCTGGGCTCATTGCCGCTAGGAAGCCCCTGCTGCTGTGGGAATGGTGTTGTCCACTGACTGGTGCCCAAAGGTTTCTTCCTGTTCCTAACAAAGTGTATTTTTAAATTCCCTACCTAGTCTGTTTTTCTAATTTCCCAAAGACAAAAACCCAGCTCCAAACCAGCCCTCTTTGAGGGCCTGCTCTTGAGAGAGCAAAGCTGGCACGTGAGGTGCCCGTACATGGCTGTGTCTGTGCTCTGGGCTTCATTTCCTCTGGTAGAAGCTCAGGTAAAGTACTGAACAAGCCCGGAGTGAGATTTGAGCAATTGGGCTTTTAATACTAAAACTCCATGAAACCTCAACTTTTGTATATTGCATAACTTGAATAAAGATTGTTTTGACACAGCATCCGGGCTGTTTCACTTCCCATTTCCTTGCTGAGAGAGGGGGCAGCACCTCTCTGGCTTCCCCTCTGAATGAGGCATCCTCTTGCCATTAGTGACAGCCCAGGGCTGGGCTTGCCTCTTCCTTGGCTCCATGACTAATTATGGCTAAAGAATCAGCACAAGTCCTCTCGGGCAGCAGAGTCTTGCAGGAGCTCAGTGACCTCGCTGTGTTGCTCTCCCACCACTGCCCCTACCAGCAACTAGAGGTGTTCTCAGGCCAGTTTGTTTTTAAGCAGGAAACGCTTTTTAGGTTGTATTTTTTAATTTTTACAACATATTGTATAAATATATTCTGAAAAGAAACCTGGTACAAACCCTGTTACCTGTGTAACAAAATCCCACACCCCAGCACACACAGGAATCGCACTATACAAAATTATTGTTGTTCCACAGAGGAACTTTGCTGTGGGGCTCTCTGTGCCCATGGGCTCAGCTGGTGCTGGAGGATGGCTTGCAGGGAACGCATGCCCATGGGGCTGCCATGAACCACAGCACCCATGGGATACCTGCTCTGGGCAGCAGGAGAGGCTGGGGGAGTTGCAGGCATAGGCCTGTTTGTGAGGGAAGGATCCCAGCGGACAGGAACTCCCTCCTTTGTGCCCAGGGACAACTGTTCCTGGACTGCTGTGCCACCAGGCCTGGCACAGGTACAGGCTGCTGGGGACCCTAAGGGAGAAACCGTGTTCTGAGCCCAGCTGAGAGGCACACTTTGATGGTGGGGCTGTGCCCTCACGGCCTGGCTGCCACAGGCGGGTGCCAGCCCCAGCGTGGCTGCTCGGCCTGGCCTGGCTGAGCACAGCCCTGCCGGGGCTGAGGGGCAGCTCCAGCGTCAGGAGCTGGTCCTGGGCACAGCTCAAGGAGCTGCGTTCCCTGCCACAGGAGAGAACCCGTGGGACAAAGCTTTCTGTCCCTGCTGAATGTCCCCAGGACTGATGGCAGCCTGGCAGCTGTGCCAAGGTCCGGCTGTGGCTGTCCCTGTGAAAACACAGCGTGTTTTCCTCTTTCTTCTCCAAGCACTGTGTCCACCTGAGATGTCTTTGTTTTCTGACCCAAAAGCCTTCACACCTGAGTCTGACTCTGAGTGTTTGCAAAGGTGGTTGCCCAGAGGGTCCCTCAGGGAACTCCAGTTGTGCCCACCTCTGCTGCCCTGTGCCTCGCCTGTGGAGCCCAGCCTGGCCCAGCAGCAGGACAGCCATGAGAGAGAGCCCGGGTGGGGAGAGTGGCTGCAGCCCCCGGGCACAACCTGTGGCACTTAGGCATGATCCGTGGCCCTCGGGCACGACCTGTGGCCCTCAGGTATGACCAGTGGCCCTCAGGCAGGACCCGCGGCCCTCAGGCATGACCAGTGGCCCTCAGGTATGACCGGTGGCTCTCGGGCAGGACCCACGGCGCTCAGGCAGGACCCGCAGCCCTCAGGCATGACCCACAGCCCTCAGGTATGACCCGTGGCCCTCGGGCACGACCTGTGGCCCTCAGCCACAACCCGCGGCCCTCAGGCTTGACCAGTGGCCCTCAGGCAGGACCCGCAGCCCTCAGCCACAACCCGCGGCCCTCAGGCGCCGTCGTCCCTCAGGCCCTGGCAGTAGTAGGCATGGAAGGTGCGCTCGTGGGCACAGACCCGCATGGCCCCGTGCGTGTGCAGCAGCAGCCGCGGGAAGCGGGAGGTGAAGTACTGCACGAAGCCCTCGGGGACAGAGCCCAGGGCCACCTGGACGTCGGCCGGCAGCTCGTGGTAGTGGTGCTTCTGCAGGAGAGAGGGTGAGGTGAGGGAGGACCAGGACAGTGGAGGTGGCAGGGCTGCAGGGAAGCTGGGTGGCCGTACCTTGTTCCTCATGGCCCGCAGCAGGTCACGCACTGAGCCCCCCTTGTAGGTGCGGAACTTCCTCAGGTCTGGGGACAGCAGGAGAGACACGGAGTGAGGGGGGACACAGCCGGGGTGGGGCTGCCTCAGCCCCTGTAGTGCCAGCCCCAGCCCTGCTGCACTGTGGCCTTCAAGGAAGAGCTGCAACCTTTACCTGCCCCACTTTTCAGCTCTTGGGCACAAGCAGGTGCCAGCTGGCCAGTAAAAGCACCAACCCTTGGAGCCAGCCCTTGGAGCTCCAATCCCTACCTGCTTCACTGGACCCAGTGACGAGCCTGGCCCCTCCATGCTCACCCATCTGCAGCGGCAGGGAGATGTGCATCCTCCAGTTGGTCCTCACCACCGTCCGTCCCCCCGATTCCAGGGCTGAGACGATGGGCCCCTCGGCTGGCTCCTTCTCCACACGGTCACTGACGTCCTACGTGCCCAAGAGGTCATTATGGCACTGCCCTTGCTCTGCACGAGGTGGCACAGAGACCCAGGGACCCCTCACCCCTCCTAAGAGCAGCTCACAATGAGCATGTTGACCTGAATGCAGAAGTTTCCAGCACATTTTTCAGTGCACACCTGCGTTCACTGCTGGTGGGACAGCACAGGCTCACCTGGAAGAACTGCAGCTGCTTCTCCTGACTCCAGAAGAAGGGATGCACAAGGACCGCAGGGGCCGAGGGCCGGTGCTGGGGCTCGGAGCTGATCATCGCCACAATCAGCTCCCTCGCAACGAGTTTGTCTGGAGGTGAAACAAAACAGCGGAGAGCTCGCCCCCGTGCCAGGAGCGGGAGCTGGCCCCAGCCCGGAGCCTCGCCACGGTGCTGTGTCACTGGGGAAGGCTCTCACCGTGAGCCTCCTCCTGCAGGCAGCTCAGCTGGTAGGAACCCGCCAGGATGTTGGCCTGGCGCCGCAGGCTGTCCCCAAAGGGGTGCTGTCCCCCCGACACCACGTAGTAGAAGATGCACCCAGCTGAGAAGATGTCCACAGCACTGGTCTGCAAAACACGGGGGCACATGGGACCCTCACGCAAAGGGCGAGGAAACCTTTACCTCCCATTTTCTGTGCTTTTATGTGGACAATTTGTCACTGGCTGAAGAGCTGCTGGAAAATGCATGGCATGGGGCTCCTGCTCTGCTACCTGGGAGCCCCATCACCCCAGGTCCTTACAGAGAAGGGGTTTCCAGAGGCACAGCCAGAATTCAGGACTCCACAGCCCAACAGACACGCAGGGGCTGCTGGTGTCCCACCAGCAGGCAAATGGACACCAGCATGAACCCCGCCCAGGATCAGTACAGCAGCTGCTTCCAGTGGGAATGAGATCCCCAATTCTGAACAGAAGAGAAGTGTGACCTTGGCAGCCACCCACAGCCCCTACAACCTCCTCACCCAAATTTCTGAGGACTGATGGAGCCTAATGAGACACCTGTGCTGAATACAGCTGGGCACTGTCCCCCGGGGCAGGAGGATGGGGACAGCCCTAGCAAAGAAGCACAGTGCCTGTGACTGGGCTGGCTCTGGCTCATGGAGCTCTCATCTTAACTGTGCACCTCAGCAGAGTGACCTGAGGCCACTGCCAGCGTGGGGGACACTGTCACAATGGGCCCAAGGAGCACCCGGGCAGGGGTGGCCATGGCTCACTGACAGGGTTCTCCTTCGGGGCCTCCTGCAGCACCTCGGGCGCGATCCAGCCCTCAGTGCCAGGGATCCCGGAGCGGAGGCTGAAGCTCTGTCGTCCTCCCTGAAGCTTCTTGCAAAGGCCGAAGTCGGAGATGACGGCGCGGATCTGCCCGTGGCAATTCGGGACAGAGATGAGGATGTTACAGGGCTTCAGGTCACGGTGCACTGCAAGTGAGAGGGTGTGCTGTCACCTGGCAGGGCTGGAGCAAACAGGGCTCTGCCACAGCCCCATCCGTGTGCTGCTGACCCCACAGCCACTGCCCAGACCCCACAGCAGGAGAAGCTGCAGAGGGGACTGCTGGCCCTTACCGATGCTGAGGGAGTGCAGGTGGGCCAGCCCGGACATGGTCTGACGCAGCACAGACACCGGGTCCAGCCCACGGCGCTCAAAGCTGGGGCTCTCCACGTACTGGAACCACACAGGAGGAGAGGAACTAAGCCTGATTTACTAGGCAAAGGCAAGCTGGCTGGAGAGACACCCCACTCCAGCGTGATGGGGGTGATGGAGAGGAGCCCCTGCAAGGCTCGTGTTCGCAGGGCTCCCAGGGCCGCAGCAGCAGCCCTGTGCCCGGGCTCACCTCCTGCAGCGTGGCGGAGCAGAGCTCGATGGCGATGTAGTGGAACTGCCGGTCCCTCTCGCTGCAGAAGTAGCGGACGACGTGGGGGTGCTCGTCCGACTCCCGGAGCAGTTGGACCTCACGGTCCAGCAGGTGGACACACTCGGGCAGGAGGCGCTTCACGGCCACACGGCGGCCCTCGAACTGCCCCCTGTGCAGAGAGCCCCTGCTGTGTCCGTGTGCAGCACGGCCAGCCACGCTCACCCACAGGAACCCCAGCATAGGTCACTGCTGTGCCCCCAAAGCCTTGTCACATCACCGACAGGAAGAGATCTTCCCAGTGTAAGCTGGGAAACGGAGGCTCTTAATTTTGTAGGAGAATGACATCCCTACAGCTCAGTGCTGGAAAAGGGGCTCAGCCAGAGCCTGGGAACCGTGCGAGGGGCCAGAGCAGGTGCAGGGGGTGCAAGGGGGACCTGCCCTGTGTACCCAGTGTCTGGTCAATGAGGGCCACGAGCCCAGCTCCATGATGGGTGGGATGAGGACCAGAAGAAGGTGAAAGGGGTGAGCTCTCAAAAGTTCCTGAACCAGTGTCCACCACCCTGAGCTGCCTTGTTGCTTTCCCTGTGGCTCCCAGGGAGAAAGGGAGCAGAGTGCAGGCACCAGTGTCACCCACCTGAAAACAAAGGTTCCTCCAGCTCCATGGCCCAGCACGTCCTTGGGGTTAAAAGAAACTTTCCCAACTACAACCAGGTCTGGTTCTGCATCTGCAGTGGAGAGAAGACAGCGGTCCTCCAGCCTCCAAACACTAGTTCTGTAAGGAGGACACCTGTTTCTCTATTCATCTGGCCATTTCTTGGGCCCTACTCTTATGTAGCCCATGCTTATCCAGCAGCAGATCTGACACGTCCTCCTGTCCCAGGTGGGCTGCAGCCCTCTCATCTGCGGGCATCCCTGCACCTGCTCTGGGTGCTGGCATCTCTGCACAGAAGCCCCCAGAACCTGCACCCACCTTCAGCAGCCACTGGGGCAGCTGGCTCTGGGCTGACTGTCCCATTAGCCAGGTCCTTCAGGCAGGCAGAGGGGCTGGAGCTCTGCGAGAGCTCTGATGCACTTCCCTGGCTCAGCTCCAGCTCCCTGGGCTCCTCAGGGACGCCCTCCCTGGAGACGCGGCCCGAGCGCAGCAACTCCTGCTGCTGCTTCAGGAGCTGTATCTGCTCCTCCAGCTGCTGCTGCTGCACCACATGCTGCCGCTGCAGTTTCTGGAACACAAACCATGCAATACTCAGAGCCTGGAGCCGCGCTGGGGCATTGGCTCTGCTGTGTCACTCTCCCACCACCACCAGCACTCACCGTGAGCAACAGGACCAGGATTCCCCCGCCCAGCAGAGCGGTGCCAATGCCAGCCATCACCAGGTCCCAGGTGCCAGACTCGGGGTACACCTCCACCTGCTCACCCGGCGCGGGGTCTGGCTGGAGCTGCCCCTCGCTGCGCACAGCTGGCTCCTCCGGGCTGCTCGGGGCCAGGAACTGCAACACATACCCGGGGCTGGGGGACACAAGAGGCACGGACCGCAGGGCACTTGGGTTTGGGACTTCCTTCCTGTCCTATCCCATGCTGGGGACCCAGTGCCCACCCCAAGCAGCACAGACCCTTCAGTGACCCAGCACCCTTCACCACTCACATCGTTGAACATGGTCCTGGAGGGAGGAGCCCTGGGGATGATGGTTTCTGTGGTTTTCCTCAGGTTCTCTGGGAAGGCTCGCAGCATCGTGGTGTGGACCAAAGGAGGCAGCTCATGGTGCCCTGTGGCAGGAGGGGAACAGAGACAACCCTCAGTTCACCTCTTGGTTTCACCCCCCTTGCCAGCAGCCCCGGCTCTCCTGGAGTAGGGGGATTGCTTCTCATGGGACCCCCAGCATTGGTAACTGTGAGCCCTGCTTCAAAGGGTCCCTGCCCACCCCTGCATGGGGTGTCTGGCAGTCACTCTTGGGGAGGGGACAAAGAGGAGCTGAAAGGAGTCCCAGGCCAGTGTCACCACAGCCTGGGGTGACTCAGCCTTAATCCCATTCACCCCACTGGGCAGAGCAGGTTGGCCTATTGTCCCTAAAGCACAGCAGCAGCTGGGGGTGTTCCCCACCAGGCACCGTCTGGGAGCCAGGACATGGGTGAGTCCGCACCTATGAGGAGCCACTGGTTGGGAAGGGAGGTGATGCTGCCCTGCGGGTACTTGACGTCCGTGCTGGGCGTGATCTCGCACTCCCCGGACTCCCTCACGGTCACGTCGTCTGTGGTGGGGCCGTCGATCCTGGCCAGCGTGATGCCCTGGGGCTGGGGACGTGGCAGCTCGTGGGGCACGGGCAGCGGACGCGCCGTGGTGGCTCTGGCAGGGCAGAGGGGACACTCACCACCAGCGCCACGCTGCCGTGCACCAGCGAGGTCACGGCGTAGAAACTGGTCGCGTGCTTTCCCACGTAGAGCGCCGGCCTGCAGGGCAAGGACAAGCATCACCTTCCATCCGTCATGGATCAGGGTGGCCGAGCACGGGAACACGAATGCCACCGGCTGCCACCGCTCGGGAACCACGTACAGCAGCTGGGTCTTGGTGGCGGCGAAGTCCTTGACAGACTGGTAGCTCCACTTGAGGACGTGGATGTCCTGCGACTGGAAGGTCAGATAGCGCAGGGTCTCCATGGCCAGGTTGAGGTGGGGGAGGCGGCGCAGGCTGTCCTGGTGCCACAGGTAGATGCCAACCACAGGTGAGCCGTAGTTCTGTGCCCACAGGACCTCCCCGCTCTCCTTGTCCAGGGTCACCACCAGCCCGTCCCCGCTGGAGGCCAAGTGTGCCATTTCTGGAGAGAGCAAGAGGGATGAGGGATGCAGCAGTTCGGCTGTGACTCCTCTGGTCACCCTCAGCTCTGCCACTGGTCATGGGCTGCTGCCTGCTCTCCCAGCAAAGGACACAGCTGAGACCTGCTGGCCCTGGCACTGTCACGCCGGCCCCTGCACAGCAGAGTCCTGCTGCAAGTGGGCACCGGGGAGCTGGGTGCCACGACTGCTCCCGTGGCTGCTGCAGTTCCACTCACTGTAGTGGTAGGACTCTTCGCAGAGCGGGGCCGAGTACTCGGAGAAGGTGGCATTCCAGCGCAGCTCCCGTGACTTGGTGTCATACATGGTGATGATGTACTCTGGGGACAGCAGCAGGGCAGGAGGTCACCTCCAGTGCCCCATTCCTGGCACCAGGTGGTCGACAGGGGCACGGGACTGGCTTACGGGTCCGTCCAATGTAGAGCAAGGGGCTGGATGGGCACAGACCATCCCAGGCCTCTGTTGAGAGGGTGGTCTGCTTCTGCCCTGACTTGGGGTCCACAATGAACCAGGTGTCCTGCTTCTTCCCTGAGAAGGAAAACACTTTCTTTGTAAGGCCCCGCAGCCCTGCCTGCCCAGGAGCTCCCGCTGAGCTCCGGCCTGTGGCCCTCCACGGCTCCCAGAGCGCCGTGAGCCCCAGCGCCTCCGTACCGGTGTAGAGCACTCCATCTGAGCTGCGGCACGGCGAGGACTGCACCAGCTCCGGGATGGTGAACGGCAGCTTCTGCAACACAGGCGGCAGAGCAGGTGCAGGGCAGAGTCACCTCTGCAGTCACCTCTGCAGCCCAGGGGATCACAGGATGCCCACAGCCCCACAGCCCTACTGACCATCAAGCCTTCTTTGTTCTTTCCTCCCAGGATATACAGGCTGCCATCATTGGGGTCTGGAAGGAATGCTGGCCTGGGAAGCACGACAGAAGCACAAAACGTGAGCTACCCCTGCCCTGAGCACCTCCAAGGACACAGAGTACTTACACTGCAGAACCCCCTGTAGCAGTTTGCTCCAGGGTGAGTCCCTGCAGGACTTGACCTTTCCTGGACACCTGCAGCACTGCCTTTGGCAGGAGATCGTTCCCACTCTGGTCAGTCCTGGGATTTCCCACAGCCACCCAGTGCCCACACACCAGGCTGGTGGATGCCCTGCCTGTCTCAAGGAGCTCTTGCTGTCCTGCCTGCCCCTGAGCTGACGGGGGATTTCCCTCTATTTCTCTCCATGCTGGTGTGTGTAGCCGAGCTGAGAGCTCCTCGGCTGTGCAGCAGGTGCCAGCTCCTCCTCATCACCATGTGCCACGTGCCAGCACCAGGGTCAGGGTAAGGTGATGCCACGGCATGGGCTGGGAATTTCATTTCTCTGTGGCTCCCCTTTCCTGCTGTTGCTCCATCAGTTATCAGGGAGCCTCCTGCACTGCCCAGTGCGGGTGACACTCACTCTGCCACATAGACCGGCACCTGCAGAATGGGATCTGAAACAGAGAGTGAAAGGCCACGTCAGCAGCGCTCCTGTCAGTGGGACAGCACAACACCACTGTTCACCCAGCGTGGCACTGTCACCCAGCCCAGCCACGCAGCCTGCCTGCCTTTCAGAGGCAAAAGGGACACCAGGGCAGATGCCCACCCGCGCTCGGACGTGCCTGGGGCCGGGGCAGCGCACCCCAGGGCTGGAGGCACTGGCAGCCCAGAGCCCATCCAGCAAGAGCCAGGCCAGGGGAGCATTTCCAAACCCCAAACATGCTCCAGGAGCTAGGCTGTAAGCAAATGCCCCCAGTCATTACTCACCATCCTTCAAGGTCCACTTGATGTCCCCTGTGCTCTTGCTGACGGCATGGAGGTTCCCATCCAGTGTGGAGATGAAGAGCAGCGTTTCTGGGACAGTCACAGCACCACCTTTGAGGCTCTAGGACAGACACACCATCCTCAAGAGATCAGCCAGACTTGGGAACAATCCCCCAGCCCGGCTCCTCTGCTCAGCTCAGCTCCTGGGGCACCACCCGCACCTACAGCCCCTGGCTCCTGTGGCCCTGCTCACATCCCACCAGAGCCACCCTGGGGCTGGAGCAGCCTTCCCTCTCCCGCCTCTCCCTGGAACAAGTTTTCCCACAGGTGAGATGAATTACAGTGTGGCCATTCCCAGTCACAACCCTGGATGCTTTTCTAAAGGTGACAAGAGCAGCCGACGTCGGCTCCTTCCAGAAACAAACAAGTCTGGTGACTTTTCGTGCCAGAGCAGTGGTGATTGCCTGCCCGGCCCTTCAGAGCTGCAGCTTTCAGCTACCTGACATTGAGGAAGTAATTGCAAATTCACCTGGGAAGAGGAGCTGCTGCTTCCACGTATGGCGTCTGCATAGCGAGTGCCAGCTCAGCCAGTGCCACATATGCCAGCCTCACCCTGTTGGCAAACAGGGATGGGCAAACAGCACGGGACCCACATGGCTCTGGCAGTCCCTGATGCCAGGGATTTGGCAGCAGCACCTGAGCCCCTGGCTGGCCACAGATTAGCGTGAGAGGCACAGGACACCCCTGGAGCCCAGCCCCTCAGTAGCCCCCTCGCTGCTCTAGGAGCCTGAGCTGGCAGAGCCTGTCCTGTGGGCCTGTCCAGGCTGTGGAGCAGGGACCAGCCAGCAGCCTGTGCCCAGCCAGGACCTGCATGCGAGTCTGAGACCATTTGCAGAGCAGAACATGACAGCACAAGACTGGCTGTAGCACGGTGGGACCAGGAGATTCCTTCAGCTGCAACAAAGCACGGGAGCACACACAACATCCCTCACTATGCACCTCACACCAACTTCTATGCCTCCAGCCTAGTTCTTTTATTTGCACTTCTTTTTGCTTAATTTTCGGGTGAGGTCAGAGTGAGTCTCCCTGCTCTGGCTTTGCCCAGAGGACATGGCAGGGAATGCTCCCACCACGGCTCCTCCAGCCCCCATGGCCATGCAGGCGGGATTGCTGCTGGCTGGGGACGTGCCAGGCTGGCAGACACGGGGCTCTTGCAGTGTGGCCACCTGCCCGGGGGAAACTGAGACTGCCGGGCCCCCCCAGCTGTCGGGGCTCTCTGCTTCCTTCCTCCTGAAGCGCTGGGGTTTTTTCCATCCCTTCTGCAAGTGTTTTGGCACCAGGGCACTCAAGCAAAGGCCAGGCTGCCTGGCCTGCTCCCCATAAACCACCATGGGCAGAACTGGGAGCCCTGGATGCCTGGGAGCTGCCAGCCTCCCTCCCCCTGGTCCCAGCCCCAGCCCACAAGTGTGGCTGTTCCCACAGGCTGTTCCCAAGAGCCGTGCTTTCCCGAGGTTCCACCACAGCACTCTGGACTCTGCAGTGACGCTGCTCGAGCCGAACTCAGCCGTGGGCTCGGGGCACACTGGCTCCCCCAAGGATAAACAGAGAGGGACGGCCAAGCACAGACAGAAACTCGGCACCAGCATCGCCTGCTTCCTCCGCTGAAGCAGCTTTAGCCGCGTAATCCAAAGCCACCCTGGCACGCTGCCTATCCGCTTGAGCCGCCACCAGCGGCAGGAGCTGGATCCGGCTCCGAAGGCACCACCCCGGCAGGCAGCAGCTCCGCGGGCAGGAGCGGTCGGAGGGCACCCGGGGAAGGGGACTCCGCTGCCGGCCACAGCCAGGCCCAGGGGCGAGGATGGAGAACAGCCTCCGCTCGGGGCGCCGCAGGGGCCGGGGTGACAGCCCGGCGCTCCATCGCACAGCAGCCAACGCACCCACGTTCGGCACCCGGCAGCATCCCGGCCCCGCGGACACCACGTACACCTGGGCAGGTGTGCCCGCCCGGGGGCGGCCCGAGCCCCGCTCACCGGTGCCACTCGCGGGACGCTCCCGCCCGCGCTGCCGCACCTGTCCCGAGCGAGGGGTGCCCCGGCCACAGCCCGGGCACCAAGTGTCGTGTGCCCTCCCGCAGGACACGCGGGACACAGCGGGCACAGGCTCACACCGGGCACCGCGCTGTCCCCTCCCGAGCGCTGTCCCCTCCCGGGCGCTGTCCCCCCGCGCGGTCCCCTCTCACTGTCCCGTCCCGGGCGCTGTCCCACCCCGCGCACCCCCCGCCCCAGCGGCGGCCGTACCTGTGCCGGGGGCGGCGGGAGCAGCAGCAGCAGCAGCGGCAGCAGCAGCGGCAGCGGCGGCGGTAGGAGCCCCCGGCGCGCCCCCCGGAGCCCCCGCGGGCGCGGCGCGGCGGGGCCGCCCATGTCCCGGCCAGGCCAGGCCGGGCCGGGCCGCGCGGCCGCCGTGAGTCAGCGGGGCCGGGGCGGTCCCGGACGCGGCTCCCGCCCCCCGCGCTCCGCACACGCACCCCGGCCCCGCGGGCCCTCCGGCCTCCCCGCCCCGGTCCCTCCGCTGCCCGACCGTCCGCACCGCCGACAGCCGCGGCACACCTGGACACCGCAGCCACGGGAACCCGCCCGCGGCACACGCCGGGAGAACGGCAGCGTGAGCTGGGGCTCCTGAACTCGGAGATGGGCTCTTCGGCTGGGGGACAGCAGGTGGCTGAAGGCGGAGGCGAGGCCGAGCAGCGCCGCTCCAGCACGGCAATCCTGAGGGTGCCGAACGCCAGCACCGGGACTGGCCCGAGCACACACCGGGGCTGTTCAGTGGGAGTGGGACTGTGGCACCAGCCAGGGCCGGGCCGGCCAGTCTCGGTGTAAAAGCAGATTAACGCCTGGCTTTGGGCAGGCAGGTAAAGACCATCCCGTAATTCACAGCCCGTGCGTGTGCATGGCACAGGGCAGCAGAACCCAAATCCCCACCGTGGGAGATGGGCACCCACGGCTTTGATGTGTCACCAGGTGTGGGGTCCCCTGAACTTAGGCCTGTGTCCATCTTCCCGCAAAGAAACTCACTACAAACCCTTTGCTCACAGCTGTTCATGCAGGAGAAAGCAGCTCAGTACATAAAGAATATTGAAACACTCAAACACAGAAATACTTAATTATCAAACTTTAATTCATAAGACTAATCTTACAGAATAAAACACCAGGATAACCAGTCAAGGTTACACTTAAAAAAATCCAGCAGTGCAAATCTAAGACTAAATATTTGTCATCTCCCTCCCCCCAAAATAGGCAATAGATTATTTAAAAATACCATAATACATGGTACTCACATATTCCATTTAAAATAAATCTGCAGTGGACACAAATATCTAAGTTGTTTTTTAAAATATAAAACCAAAAAATTAATCGCTTTGAGTATGGATTAGACAGAGTGAACTTCCAAGAGCTACTGAGGCGAATCCTTGGCTAGAAGGTAAAATGGCCACGTTTCATACAAGACTTGCTTGGGCTCTCCTGATCCCCCACTCCCCTCCAGTGACAAGGACATTCACTAACAAAACAGGATGCCAGCGGCCTCATCCTAACAGGTGGGGAGAGGCTGCTGGGCAGAACTGAGGGTGAAAACGGCTGCACTGGAAAAACCCAGTTACAAAGGAAGCCAAGTAAACGAAGGGGAGTCTGGAAGCAAGCCCTGCAAGGACGGGAGCAGGGAGCGCAGCGCCCGGGCCAGCGGCAGGCGCAGGACCGTGGCTGTGGAGAGGCACAGAGCAGACCCCACCGCGGCACCGGGGCACTGGAGCAGCAGGGAATTGTTTCTCTTTGGCCCTTGGAGCATGGAGCAGTGGGCACCAGCCAGCAGGTGCAAGCTGGGCAGGGTGTGTGTGGCACCAGCACAGTGTGGTGGTGGTGACAGGTTATCTCCTTTCAATCCAGATCACTCTCTCCCATCACCAGAACACCCTGACTGTAGTTACACATTCCTCATCATCATTAATGGAAATTAATAATTTACTTTAAACTTGGTATGAAACCGTGTGACTAACACAAGCTCTTCATGCAAGACAATCTGTTCAAACCCCAACCAAGCTGAGCAACAACACTTCTGCATTCCCAAGGA